ATATGTATTGACATCCTAATTTTGATAATTGAGTTGAATTTTGATATATACATATATTGACCTCTTAATTTTGATAATTGAGTTGCATTCTAATTTTGATAACTGAGTTGCATTATGATATATAGATGTATTGACATCCTAGTTTTGATAATTCTTGAATTGGTACTTACATGTATTGACCTTCTAATTTTAGTAATTAAATTGCACAGTGATATATACATATATTTCTAAATTTAAGAATTCTTCCATTGGTATTATACATTTATCGACCTTCTAATTTTTATAATTGAGTTGCATAATGATATATACATGTATTGCCCTTCTAAGTTTAGTAATTATTCGACAATTGGTATATACATTTATTGACATTCGATTTTTAATAATTCATCAAATGTTTAAAAGGATGACAGAAAGTTTGAGGAGAATGAAAGGGTGAATGATTAGTCTATGGATCAAGAAAAAAGAAATAAATCAACGTTGAAAGATTATTCAGAAACTTAATTTGATAATGATATGCACACAATCGATTGTTGCAAGGAGAGAAGAGGGGGCTTAAAAGTAGTTAAAGTAGAACAATGGCAGATAAATTCAAAACAAAATAATTAATTTAAAATCCCTTTAATTTAGTAAAAACAATTTGAACTCAAAGCAAGGTTGTTAGGTGGTTGAATATAAGAAAAATCCAAAAAATCATGGAAAATGGTATTGTTGGAAAATCATCGTATAAAACTCCTAAAATGCCCTTTAGTCATTTGTGCAAAATTTAAAACTAATGGCTATTTTTTAAAGTGGGTGTCAAAATTTAGCCATCCATTTAAATTCCCCTTTATGTAATAGTCGTGGCTCTTATGGCCCGTTTTAGTCTTTAATAAAATTCCTTTTTCTCAAAAAAGAAAAGGATAGTTTGAACACTTTAAGTTGTCACTTAACAAAGTTTATAATATGATAAAGATGTTATAATTAATAGTAATATTTAGTTCCTTCTATTTGTGATTTATTTTATATTTAATAATCATGTATTCCTCCCACTTTCCATTACATTTTCTTGTACCTATAAACTATTGATAAAATAAGTAACAAATAATAACAAAAATTGACATAGAACAAATGTTCCATTTAATAAGAAAGAGACTATATATATAAATCATTGGAAATAAAAAAGAACACACACACAAATATATATTATTATATAATTGTGTTATAGCTATTATGTAGTGGTTGATATGTAAATTATTAAACCAAAGGACAGACAGATCCTCTCTCTGTGTGTGTGACACAATTGTGTGTGTCTTCTACGTTAAATTGCAAACAGAAAGAGACAAAGGCTAAAAATAGAGTAGAAATCAAAAGTGGGATTGGTCTTGTGATTTACACCCTCAGTCGGCAACAACAAAATCTAAATAATTTTGTATCCATTTGATCCATTCATTTCATCATCTCTAAAACAATCAACTTCAAACAAAAAGCTAAAGCAAACAAACCATCTCTCTCATTATTCTCAAAACCAAACCCCATTCAAACTCAAACCCCTTTTTTGTGTTCTTCTTCAAAACCCTCCCCAAAGCAACTATATTGTTTGCCAAGCAAGAAAACAAAAGAAAAAAAGAAAAGGGAAAAATTAGAAGTGTAGTCTAGCTTTCATATGTCTTTATTTATCTTATTTAAGTTAAATTACAATTAGTTTAGTTCTTAAAAATTATAGGGTTGCATCCAATAGGCATTTGAATTTTAAAAAACAATATCTAAAATGTCTGAAAATTTTTAATTTTGTGTCTAATAGATCACTGGACTTGAAAAAGATGTCTAACGAGTGCATAAACTTTCAAGTTTGGTCTAATGAAACCTCTTAACTTTAAAAAATGTCTATTAGTATATGTAAGTTTAAACTTCTAATTTTGTGTCTAATATATTTAAAAAGTGTCCAATATATCCGTAAACTTTCAATGTTGTATGTTATAGATCCGTAGACTTTAAAAGTGTCTAATACATCTCTAAACTTTTAACTTTGTGTTTAATAATGAGTCCCCAACCTATCAAACTTAAAAAAAAAATTCACCATCTTGCTTAGACACAAAATCGAAATATCATAGATCATCTAATAGAAGCAAAATTCAATTTTGTGCATGTAATAGATTATTGAATTTWAAAAAAAAACATCTAATAGATTGACGGACTACTTGACACAAAATTGAAAATCCACCAACAGTGTTAAACACAAAATTAAGAGTTTTGGAAACCAAAAATTTAATCATGCTTAGTAGTGTATTCAGCTCTACACTAGGTTATGATGAATAAAYCACCACTCAACCTAAAAGTTTAGGTTGATGTATTGGGTAAATTTAATTTATATACTGGACATCTAACATAAATCTTTTCACTTTCAAYTTTGTGTTTAATAACTAATCCCTGGTCTATTAGACTTTTTTTCCTTAAAATTCACCAACATCTTAATTAGACGATCATAGATCTAATRGACACGAAATTCAGTTTCGTGCGTAATAGATCATTGAATTTAGTTAAAAGAAAAGATATCTAACGGACTAATGAACTATTAGGACACAAAATTGAAAATCCACAGACATTATACATAGAATTATGTATAGAATTAAAAGTTTAGAGACGCGGAGACGAGTAAAAAGTTATCAAGTACCAAATTAAACTGGTCATGATCCTAACTTTTTTGTTTGTTTTTGTTTAGTAGTGTATGATGAGAGGATTCTGTTAGGGGTGAGAGAGTGGTCTGACAAATGACAATGGTGGCTAAAAGGTAGGAAACTTTGTGGGTCTGTGAGTTGTGATCTCATGGAAACTCAAAAAGCTTCTTAACCTCTTTCTTTCTTTCTTTCTTTTTCTCATGGAAACCCAAAAGCTTGTTTAAGCAAATTGGCAGTCTATCTTTCAGAACTTGTGTAAGCAAAGTGTCAGCCTTTTACCATTCTATCATCTCATCTCTGTGCCTGCTACCATTATTCAGTAACACAGTAACATATACATTCATATAACATTATTTCCAAATCACATGCCCCTCCTCAAATCTCTCCTCTATCCTTAAATTATTACTCACCACATCATACTCTATCACAACTCATAACCGAAAAGAAAGGGGTATGCAATAATGCTTGGATTTTATTATAGGTACGCTCGTGTCAACCCGATTGAGATGTGTTTGGTAATTTACGGTTTTAATGAATCCCAATTTAGGGTTTTCAAGAGAATGAGTTATTGTTGTAGCCAGAGGCGGAGAATGTTTGGTTAGGAATGATAAATCCGTAGAAGATCGTGGCTCAACTCATTTTTCGACCGGATGCTCGTTTAAGCTTTTTGAACTCTGATACCATATTATATATCATTGACAATGATATGAGTATATTACTTATATTATACACCATTGTTAGGTCTCTTATCTTATTAAACACTTATGGACCAAACACTCGAGGAGGGCATGTGTTTAGAGATATAAAATACAAAAAAATATTGATAATTAATATTCTTTTTAACAATAACACACCTAACTAAACTATATTAATTCATCATTTATTTTCTTTTTTTTATGAAAAATGTTTATAATATAATATCCATAGAATATGGTAAAAAGTTTGCAACTTTTTTCAGGAAGATATATACACATATATATTTTAACAAAACCCAATAATAATTTGAGGGAGAGAGTAAAAAGGAAGAGTGAGAAAGTATTAATAATGCACAACATTATCTTCACTTTGAGATTGAAGTACAAAAGAAAAAAATCTTTACAATCCAATTTGTTTTTTTCTTTATTTTTATTTACATTATAATACAAAACCGAGTGAAAAAGATAAAAGAGTTTAAAGAACTATTACAGACACTGACTAATTAAACTATGTCATGTCTTAATTCAATATCTTTTAGAATATATTAGTTTGATAATTTAAATCTATAATTCATACTGAACAATAATATCTCATGRCTAGAACTATGTTAGTTCGATAATTTAATTATGTTTTTTTAGGGGGAAGCCAATTCCACAATTATTTATTGAATTTTCTTTGACAGAAAATTGTTAGGCTTTTATTTYAGAGAGAAGTGGCTTTCTCATTTATAATTGAATGACACTCCACTCTTATTTTATTTATTTTATTTTTATTTTCAGATAGAATCACACTTCACTTTACTAATTTAAAATTGACACAAAAATGTCATCAATTATGATGTTTGGTACCTAACTTTCCCACTCTTTCACTGTCCAAAATATTCCCCTCCCACTTTAACTCCCAAAGTTTCCATTTTTATTCCATTTTATTTCATTCAATTATGTTGGAATAAATTCTCTCCATTTTTTTTCCAATTAATTTCATCGAGATCAATCAATTAGATGATTAAAATTTTGTACGTATATTTTTGTTTATTCAAGTTAATCTTTGTGACTTTAAAAATTATTTTAATCCAAATTGAAACATATTCTTTTTTKCTAGTTATTTTTTAAAATTATTTTAGAACCATCAAAGTTGGTGATTCTTCAACAATCACATGCTTATGAATATTACGATTTCAACATGCACCATACAGTTCATCCTATCACACGTTTTAAAAACAAAATTGAAATTAAAATTATAGTCGAAACAATTTCTCAAACAAACCCATATTTTAATCTTTTATCACTATATGTAGTATGATCCAATTGCACCCAAGTTAGGATAGTTTAAATTAAACCTCAGCGATAATTAATCAAGAAAACACCATTTTTCTTTCTACCAAGATCTAGGGTTTTTAATAAATTTTTTGGGCATCATTTTCACAAAATTCTAATGGAAATGACTTGTGGGTCTCAAAAATAAGATTGGTGTGTCTCCATGTCTTGAAAGGTACATGTGAAATGAAACGAAAACATATTGATATGAAATGTTGTTCTGTTCTGTTTATGTCTTTATTTTTCTTTTCCAATAAAAAAAAGGTTTTCAATTCTTATTTTATTTTCCCCTTTATTTCTCTCCTTCACGTGAAATATCTGCAGATTTCGTTTCGCAATCGCAATTCGCAAAGCCCTTTTAAAACCCCCATTTTTCTGCTCCCAATTCCAAAACCCACCATTTTTCTCTCCCTTTTTCAGCTCTTCTTCAAATGGGTTTCACTCAAAAAGTAGCGATTTAGATTTACAGTAGAGAGAGAAAGAAGAGAGAGAGAGAGAATGGCACTAGAAGCTGTGGTTTATCCTCAAGACCCATTAATTTACAGCGGCAGCAAAGATCTCTACAGCTTGTTTGGAGGAGGGATTTGGAGCGGTGGGAGCTTCGATTTTCCCGAGAACCAAACAGAAAATTTCCCATTTGGCGATTGGAACTCCTCATCCTCTGTTTTGGCTCCTTCCCCCGACGCCGCCATTTCGAGAAATGGGTTGATTTTCAGCGACCCAAATCCGCCATTGGAGGCCGAATCAAGAACTCCGAATCCAGTTCGACCGAGAAGAAGAAGACCCAAAACCAGAAAGAACAAAGAGGAAATCGAGAATCAGAGAATGACCCACATTGCAGTTGAACGAAATCGAAGAAAACAGATGAATGAGTACCTCTCTGTTCTTCGATCCCTAATGCCAGATTCTTATGTCCAAAGGGTATCTCTCAATTCATCAATTTTCGTTTCAATTTTCCTTTCTTCCAAACAGAAATTCAAAAGGGGGGTTTATTATTATTATTATTTTTTCAGGGGGACCAAGCTTCAATCATTGGGGGTGCTATAAATTTCGTGAAGGAGCTTGAGCAGAAAGTTCAATTTCTCTCCACAGCTCAAATGGATTCGAAGGGGAAGAATTCAGAAGCTTCTTCAAATTCTTCTTCTTCTTCTTCATCTTCTTCTTCCTCACACATCCCTTTCTCTGAGTTCTTCAGCTTCCCTCAGTTCTCAGCAATGGAGGGTTGTTGTTCTGTGGGTGAAGGTGGGACCCAGTGCTCCTCCATTGCTGATATTGAAGTAACAATGGTGGACAATCATGCAAACTTGAAAATCAGGTCAAAGAGAAGGCCTAAACAGGTGCTGAAAATGGTGGCTGGCTTGCATTCTCTCTCCCTCTCTGTTCTTCATCTCAATATCTCTACTATGGACCAAATTGCCCTCTACTGTCTCAGTGTTAAGGTCAGTTTTTGCTTTTTAAATGGGGTTTTTGTTTCTTTTAAGAGAGGATTTTGAAAAAATATCTGTTTTTTTGTTTGTTTGGATTCAATGTAGGTTGAAGATGATTGCAAGCTGACTTCTGTTGATGAAATTGCTTCTGCTCTGCATCAGTTGCTTTCTAGAATAGAAGAAGATTCACTCATGAACTGAAATTTTCCCCTTTTTCTTTTCTTTTCTTTTATTTTCCAACCCATATGGATTATGTGTGGAAATTTTCTTTCTGGGTTAACTTTATTTTCTTTGCTTGTAGGTTGTATCTTGTTCTTCTAACTAATGTAATTTCTTTTATATCAGTTGGGTTTGTCATATTATATGTGAAAATTTTCCTTCTCTCTGTTAATTTTCTTTCCTGAGAAACTTTTTCCATCCAAACATGAATGGATGGATCTGTTTGTCACTTTGTAGCTTTGACAGATCAACAGAGAGAGAAATTTTTTTGAGAGCAATCCAGTGTTTTACTTTTTCTGATCCACCATTCAAAGGGAAAAAGGAGAAAAAAAGTGAGAAAAAAAAGTGTCAAAGTAAAGATTTTTGGTCACCAAAAACATAAGAAGATCTTGAAAAAACCAGAGGTGAAAGATGATGAGTTTGCAGCAGAAAGTTGTCCTTGTGTGCATGGGCAGCTTTAGAAGTGATTAGCTCTTTTCTCTGCAACTCTCCATACTTGATGAAAAAGGCACATTGAATTGAACTTTGAAGCTCTCTTTTACTTTATTGATGATTCAGAGGACATATCTAAAAAGCACTTTTTTGTATAGGGCTTCTGATCTAGAATCATTAGCATTTGAGATGGGATTGGACGGCTGTGATAAAAGTTGTAAAAAATTACAAGATTTGAACTTTGTTTAATTAGTCTCTCTTTGAGGTTTATAATATACTAGTCTACGGAACTCGAAACAACAATAAGAACGATCAAGTAGAATTGTGATTGAATGACTTGTAAATGTCCAAGTTTTCAATAAGAATTACGATCAAGTAGAATTGTGATTGAATGATTGGTAAATGTCGAACGTTGATGTATTGAGATAATTATACAAAATAGTATATGTTTTGAAATAATTTTAAATGAATGTAAAAACAGAGAGATAAAGGAGGAGGAGAAGAGAGTTGGTGGATTTTGTGTCTCTTTAAGAGAACAGAATCAAAGGGAATAAAGGTACTGTTATAAATGGTTAAGGGAACCATGGACTTTTTACTGTGTGTTTGGAGAGAACACTCAACACATCTTCCCTTCATCAACTTTTTTTTTTTTGTTTTTTTTTAATCTGTTTGGGTAAAATTAGTACTTTGCTTTCAAAGGGTTAATTTCTTTTTCCTTTCACATTGGGTTATTTTACCCTATGGATGTAGGATTGGGTAAAAAATTATATCATCGTAGTTACTAGGACATTTTTGGAAATACCTTTTTGCAATGGTATTCCATTATTTATTTTTAGTTTAGTTTAAATCTTATTTCTATTCTTGAGCTTCTGTAGTCCTAAATTTTTAAATATTTTGTTTTGGTCCATAATTTTATGCACATTATACGATGAGTTGATCTCTGACGGAACAAATATTTGAAACCACACTCATGAAGTGGTCGGTTTCAGTTAAAGTGAGCATAACTCGTGGTAATTGAAATATATTCAAACTAAAAGGTTGTGAATTTGATTCCCACTCCTTGCACTGAAAAAAAAAAAGTGATCGGTTTCAAATTTTCTGTTAAATGATTAATGAAACATTAGGAAAGCTAAAATGATATTTTTATGAAAAAAGAAATTAGAGGACTAAAACAAAATATCTGAGAGTTGAAATAAAATAAAACATTTTAGTCTTAGAGATCAAAATAAGATTTAAGTTTCTGTTTTTTTGTCATTTTTTAAACTATATTTTCTTAGCTTTTAAAAAGTTTATCTAGGTAGAGTATATTAGAAAACAAAAGGCATCATTAATAAGCCAAATTAATTTTTAAAAACAAATAAAATTAATAACAAAATCATTATAATATAGATCTCCCATAATCTTTTTTCACTCATATAATCATATTTTATTGTATGTGTCATGTGATAAATAGAAAAGGGGAAAGTCAACTTAAACATAACTCGACATATTTTCGACTTCTAACTAAGAAGTCGGATGTTCGAATTCTCACGCCACATTTGAGCTAAAAGAAAAAAGGGAAATGAAAAATTCTTTTTTTAAGACAATTTTTTAGTGGGACATTTCTACATGAGATTTTGGAAAGGGGGTGTAGGCTTCCATAGAAGAAGACAGCTCCAATTCTCAAAGAAGCCATTAGGGTTCCATTTTTTTTTCTATATTATTTTTTTCTTTTAGAAGATTCCACTTTTAACCTCTCCTTCTGTTTGTCATCATCTTATTGTTTTGTAGTGAAGAAATATAGAGTTGAAAGATTCCAACTTTCTCTTCCTCTTCCTCTCTCTCATATCATTTGCAAACCCTTTTTTTCTTGTAAGCTGTATATTTTAAGAGCAACATATAAAAAATTCACAAAAGTGGTGAGCCTTTAAGTTATATGTTCCTTAATACAAGGAAGAATACAAAAAAGTCTTATAGATTATGTTTTGCTCTTTATGGACATGCCAAAATTTGCATTAAAAAAAGAACATGAAAATGAAGATTATTTTATAATGTCTTTTTCCTGTCAAAAAGTATAAAGTAAAAGAGAGATAAAGTCATAAACCATGCATAGAATGGCAAAGGCAAGGCCCCGTAGCAACTAAAAAAAGAACCATTAAACTATTGATGAAAAGAAAGAGAATAATTTCTATATTATTTTTTATCTAAATGATGTGGACGAAGTGTGTGGAAGAGAGATTAGGTTTTTAAGGATGTATGTTTATCCAAAAAAAGAAAAAAAATATTTTTTTGAGTACAACACGTTGAATTACCGCTCAGTTATGCTTGCTTTGACCAAAAAAAAAAAAAAATCTTAATATGACTCCTTTGTTTTCTCGATTTTTCTATAGATATTACTTATTCCTAATGGATTATGATGATTATTACTATAGGTAGGTTTTGAACTTGCCACGTAGCTACGGTCACGCACTGTGTACGAATCTTAGTCCATATATAGATGGAGGAAAGAAATGTGGGAATTTAATCATATACCTATGCATTTAGGGATTATTAGGTAACGTTAGCTAAAAGAAAGTTTTTTCTTTTTCACAATCCCTCTCCCAAAAAGCTTGTAATCTAATGATTTGTTTGTTTTATAGATTTTGTTATGAGGTGTCAACTTGTAAAGTATAAAGTTATTATATTAAATTATTGAAGAAAAGAGAGCTTGATTACTATATATATATGTTACCCAAATGAGGGACAGATATGTGGAAGGTATATTGGCTTTTTAGTATACTTTTGATTACAATAATGCTTCTAATTAATCAGCCCATTGTTTTGCCATGCATTTAATCATATTCCTACACATTTAGGGATTACTTGGTAATGTTTGCATCATCTATTTTTTATTTTTTGAAATATTTTCAAAAAGTTTAGTAAAAAGTTTATTTTATTATTATTTGTTTTTGTTATTTGGCAAAGTTGAGGTGTAATTTCGTCCAATCATACAGGTCAGGTCAAGAAGAAAACTATACATGATCGAGCGTATTTGCTAGCAGAGGACAGCTAGCGAGTAAGAGATCACTTAAGGATGCTGCCATGCCCCCTATCCGTGACATAGAGGGAAGCATATGATGTCATACATAAAGAAGAGAGCAATCCTAATAGAGAAAAAGCCACTTTTACTATACAACTCTTGGTGAGGATTCAACACAAACTCTCAAACAGACTCTCACCCTCGAGATTACTGCCTTCTTACTATTTTTGCTCCATATCCATTTTCTCTCAACTAGAGTTCTAACTTAAGCATTAGATTGCATTTGGAAGATAATTAAAAAAAAAAGATTGCATTTGGAAGAGCATCACACTAGTACTAAATTTTTATGTGCAGGCGAGAAAAGTTTAGAGATGAAAACGTACGTGACACCTATGTGGACCTCCCAGAAATCAACATCAACATGCTTCTAATTTTTATAAATGGAAAAACTTGGCTCTAATAAGTTGCACATATAAATACAAAAGAAAAGCCATAAAATTTTGAATATTTGTTTTCATAAAAATAATTCTCAAAGTGTGACAATTTATAAGAAGAAGCAAGAATGATTGTTATTACCAAATCCATATTTTTTCTCTTTTAAAAGTGGATAAAGAAAAGAAAATGAAAGAAAGAAAATAGTTAGTGAACACATTTTTTACTCTCTTATAAAAAAAAAGAAAAAGATAAAAACTAAGAACAAAATTGTTACCTAACATATATTAAGTGTTTGTTTGTAATTAGTTTCTTGTTCGAATTTTGTGATTCTAGTTTAATTTCATGTTTTTCCTTTTTGTAGTTATGAGAGAGAAATAAAAATATTTTTGGTGACAGTCTCTTCTTTTTCATTTTATTTTTTTTACTGAGAAAGGTAATAAAAATATCTTCCAAAGCGTTTAAAATATTTTTTTAAATAAAATATATAATATCAGTTTAACTAATTTTTATATTGATTATGCATTATCTTTCTCTTAAAAAAGATATTGATTGATTACGCCTTATACAAGTTAAAAATAATGATGATTTATTACAATCATAATGTAAGGCAAATCTGAATATAACTCAATTGATTTAGACACCTAAATTATAATTCATTGAATAATGCGGTGCAAATCAGATTTCAGAAAGAGAGAAAATAGTGACTTTTTAATAGCAAAGACATCATCTTTTTACAAGTGAAACATAATTCTCATATTATTTTTTGAATTATAAGAGTTCCCTTTGTTGAGTTTTATTTTGATTTGTTAGGTATATGTGCTAGCATGTCTCACCCTCTCAAGTGAACCAAGAAGTGGGGCTTCATCTACTAAATGGGCTATATGTTTGCTCAAATCAAGCAAAAATATGAAGCTTTTGTATATTAGTCATTTGATATATATATATTTTTTATTATTTTTACTTTTTAGTAAGGTCCTTTGTTGGCTAAGGTGTTAATTAAAACACGGTTTCGTTTTTTGTTTTTATTCTCATTTCATTTTTTTTTTCAATTATTATTTTTAATTTTTTTTTTAAAAATACCTTTGATAACTATTTCTTGTTTATTATTATTTTTTTTGAAAAAAATTAATTGTGTCCGGTAATTATTTATTGCTTCTTATTCCACAAAAGTTTAAATTTTAAAAAAAGTTTCACATGAATAATAAATTTTTAAAATACAAACGGATAAATTATCATTTAATAAGTTAGAAATGATAAAAATAATGATTGTATTTACAATTTTTAAAAAACTTAGAAACGAAAAACTAGATTTTATTGTTTTGAAAATTTTGTATGCAATCTTAGAAATTGTTTCTAATTGGTAATTCATGACTTGAACAAATAAGCACCCGTCCTCCTAATTAGGTTCAATAAGATCTCATTTTTCATAGTTGGGTATGAGTAAAAATTTTTCATTAACACTTGAGAATATTTGTAGATGTAATAAATAATGGGGTAAAATAGAAGGCTTTAGCTATGAACCAAAAAAAAAAAGGAAAAAAAAAGAAGCTATGAACTACTTGTGAGAGAAATAGAATCAACTTAAAATGTAATGATATCGTTTATGCAAGAAATTGCACAACGTCAATCTAGCTCGAACTCAGTTCTTGCTCCGACCTGAAACGCTAAGGGAAGACCTGCACAAGAGGACAAAATCTCCGACGCTCAAGTCAGTAAGCAGCTCGGACTCAATATTAGATTCGAGGAGAAATTCGATACCTGATGGTGAAATGTGACTCTCTATTTATAGGTTTAGGTTTCGACAGGAGTTGCGACAGGCGGTTACCTTGGTCGGATTTGAGTTCGGATGTGTCGGGCTCGAGCAGATCGAACTCGGTCACTTTCCTTGCAAAAGATAAGTTGATTCTTGATAGAAAATAAGAAAGTCTTCCATCTCGGAGAACTTCGTAAGTTTGTTCTTTCGGATCCTTCTTTAGCGGGACAGTAGGATTTTTCATCGCCAAATAGATATAATTTTCAGTTTATAAAAAAATTTCGCTTTTGCAAATCCCTAATTAAAACAAAAATCCCATGTATTAGTTAGTGGTGTTTAAAAAATTTGATCCAAAAAACCCATCAATCCAACTCAACTTATACATTTGAGTTGGATTATAAATTTGTTTGGAAATTGAGTTGTGTTTAAATAAGAGAAAATTTTACAGGTTGAGTTGGTTCTAAGTTTTGGAATCAAACCAATTCAAGCTTATTATTAATTTCAAAACTTTCTTTTAGTCAAAATAAAAATTAATATATAGTTATATTTATTTTAATTTTATTTTATGAATTATTTATTAGCTTTGGAGTGTGCTTTTTCACCAGATAAATAAATATTAACTTACCGATCTTAATTTAAATGTTAGCCAGCCAATATATAAATAAATGTTTAAGATATTTTTATTTTTTATTTTTTTTTGTTATACCATACTTTGAATAAGTAACCCAAAATTCTTGAATTATCCGAATCAACCCAAACCAAATTTTTCATAGTTGGTTGGGTTGAATTTATTGTTAGCAATGATGGTTTATAATTGTTAGGTACATTAAAGAAAGAAAAAAATACCGATTTAGTAATGTTTTGCAGCATTATAATTATTTTTAGTGCAATGTGTGGAGTATGGATTCGAGCATCTGACCTTTTAATTCGAAAATATATTAAATCTAACTAGTTGAGTTATGCTTAAATTGACAATGTTAGTATTATTGTTGTTATTTTTTAGAATGACAATGCTAGAATTTTATTATATCTTATCATTTGGAACTGAATTTTAATGAAATAATAATAAACTATTTTATCCCAAGAAAAATATGACACTTTGAATTCTAAAGCCAAAAAAACTTACCTTTCACGTAATTTGCATATCTTTGACTTTAACTTTATTTTGGGAAAATCAAAATCTATTCTTTGCCTATTAATTGATCCTATTGGATGTTTAAAAATCAAAGCAAACCAATATAGTTCAAATCAAATCAAACACTATAAAAATGATTTGGTCTCTCTTTTTATCATTTGTTTTTTTTTAAATTGGTTTGAATTTTTTTTATTTTTTTATTTTGGAAATAGAACTTACGTAAAGAGAGGACAACATTTTCTTAATTTATTCATTTAATACCATACATATTCATTAGATATACATGCAATCTTATTGTTTAACTTTCTTGATGATCTCTACTCTATTATTTTCATTAAAAAAAATTTAAATCACTCGTTAAGTTAAAATAGAAGAGTTTCTGGCTTCATTTCAAAGAATTAATTGTAAATATATTTTTATTTTTCTTAGAATTAATTATAAAATGTTAAAAAGTTTTTGAAATGCAAAAGTTGTGTGATTTGTATATTTCAACTTATCTACAACAAGTCTGTTAAATCCATAAAGTTGACTAATAATTAATTAATTATCTCTCTTGTTTTTTTCTACCCTTATTATATAAGCTTCATTCAATAACCTCTCGTCCCTTTCTTAAAATTGTGCTTACTTTAAAGAGTAAATTAAATTTGGATGACTTCTAAATTTATTAAGAATTTTTACAAATCTTGTTGTTAGCATGTAATATCGAACATTTTAATAAAATTATAAAAATATATTTAATTAATTAAAAATATTTATCATTACGTTTTTTTAGTACAACATGTAAGGATGATAATTAGAACTCACAACTTTTGGTCAGAGATAAATCCGTTAACCAATTGAACTATATTCAAATTGATATTTGTTACTATATTTGAAAGTCGTCCCACAAAGCTTCAAATTTGGTGACGGCCTAATTCCATTCATAACGCTTGACTTTTTTCTTTTTTCATTTTTTTTTTGGTCTAACTTCCAACCTTACCATTAAAGCTTTCATAAAGGCTCCCTTAAAAAAAGTCCATCACTGGCTTTTAAGTTCACACACCCACATTAAAGCTGAGGTTAGATATGACTTTTAGAATACTGATAAATAGTTATCCAAATATTTAGTTACATAGTTAAACTTAATATTGATTTTAAACATTATAAAAAGTACTCTAATGAAGGTACTTGAAGATAAACACACAAGTTGAATTCACCTAAATCAAGAAATTATATCATCCCATAACTCTTGACTTTCTTGTCTAAACTTCTAATCTTAAAAGTTTGTAAACGCTTTCACAAGGAACTCGCTTATGAAACCACAAAATAAGAACAAAAAGAAAACTATTTTACGTAATAAATGCCTTAAGCTACAAGAAATGGTGGAAACTAGATAAGCTTCAACCGTTTTCATTCTCCTTCAAGCTGGCTATAAAATGGTGCAACATTCATTTCCCAAACCATCAATTTTTCAGACAAATTAAATCTCTAATTCAAGAAGAAAATGACGTTGCATAAGTCTCTTGCCATCTTGAGCTCCCTTTGCCTGATCTTCATGGCCATATCTTCATCCACAGCTCAACCTCCTCCGGTGCTCGACACCAACGGCCAAGCTCTACGACGCGGTATTGAGTACTACATCAAGCCCGCGATCACCGACGTTGCAGGCAATCTCACCCTGAAAAGTCGTAGCCGTGCCCCTTGCCCGCTCTACGTTGGCCAGGAACCGGTTGCTTCGATGGAGATCGGTCTCCCAGTCATCTTCACCCCCTACGCCGCGGACGAGGATATAATAAGAGAAGGCATGGATTTCAAGGTTGTGTTCCAGGCGTCGTCGACGTGCATAATGTTGACACAATGGAGAGTGGAGGAGACAGAGGCTGCCACAGGGAGGAGGCTGGTGGGGACCGGGGACGACAACGGCCCGACCGGGATGTTCAGGATCGACAGGAGCAACCTCGGAGTTTAYAATATAGGATGGTGTCCCGAGATGTTTGGGAGACCAAGGTGTGGAAGTGCAGGCATTTTGGTTGAGGATGGAGTGAGGCTGCTGGCTTTGGATGGCTCTGCGTTTCCTTTTGAGTTTGTGAAAGCTTGATGCAAAAGGAAGAACTTGGTTTTAATTATCTTACAAGAGAAAAATGTGTGTAATTAGTTGTTATATTGAATTAGAATAATATAAGTCAAATAAAAGCTCTTGTAAGGATTTACTTATGTTATTTCTTTTTATGGTTAGTGTAAAATTTAGCATTTGGGTTATTGATTTTTCAATGAATATACATGGTGTTATATATATATATATATATATATATATTAAATTTGTAGCCGCCTGTTTATTGAAAGAAGTCAAGAGGACCAATTATTCAGAAAAAATATTTAAAACCATACACCTTAATGAAAGCGACTGATTGTGTTCAAGGAGAGGTAAAAAAAATGGGGCAAAATTGAAGTTCCATCCCAAAAAAATTGGTGTGCCGTGAGTAGGATATATTATTTGGTATATAATAAGTGATTATTCTATATGTAATTAACTATTGTTTTTCAAATTAATTCAAATCTCTTAGGTATTTTAAGAAGAGTAATACCAATTTTGTTACTTTTGTTAAGTTAAATTTACTAATCAATTATAATTTAAAGGAAGTAAGATTTTTGATGTTTTAAAAAAGATTATTGATTCCTTGACTAGTTAAATTTACTCATCACCAATTATAATTTAAAGGGAGTGGAAAGATTATTGATTACTTAACTAGTTAACCATATTACTATTAAAAAAAGAAATAGTTGAATTTGTTCGACGAAAAAGATTAAGAATCAAACCTATAATTTAAAGGAGAAATCATCATTAATATTGCCCATATTATTATGAGCTTCAATTGGATATTAATAAATAATTTCATCATTAAAAAAAAAGGGTACTCTGAATTTTAGGCCAAAGACATACCTTTCACGTAAACAGCATATGCTTGGGATTTCCAAAAAATAATAATAAAAATAAAATAAAAAATAATAATAAAAATAAAATAAATAAAAAAGAAAAAAAGGCATATGCTTGACTTTAACTATTGTCTAGGAAAAATCAATATCTTTTCATTTATTATTATTATTATTTTTTTTTGCCGATTTATCCTTTGGGTTGTTTAGAAATCAATAGTTGAAATCAAATCCAAGCACAATCATATAAATTACAATTAAATTTATCTCCACGTGTCTAGTAGCATACGACATTTCTCAGATATGAAAATTTCGACAAAATATAAAAATATCCACAAAAATATCACTAATATATATTAACAATTTTAAACTTTAAATATAAAATATTTATTTATTAATTTAAATATTTGTTATATGAATTTTATATTTCTATATAATTTTTTTAGAAATATCCATCCATATCAATATTTCTATTGACATCCAAATTAATCTTGACAATTACGATTTGTTTGTTTGTTTTCCAAAATTGATTCAATTGATTTGATTTTAAGTTAGAAATTGAACATGAAGTATGTAAAAAGCAAGATAAAATTTTCTTCATTTATTAATTTGATACCATAAATTTAGGCAAACCCTCTCCTCAGATACCTTAAACCAATCCATTCTATTATATTTTGTTGGAAAATTAGTTTGGGTGAGTTTAATTTTAATCCCAATGAAGTTGATAAAATGTAAGGGATGGGAAAAGTTTAAATATGAACAGTTTTGTGGGTGGATTTGGTATTGATTTTTGAAATAGTAAAACTACTTTAAATTTAACCGATTAAAATTGTTTTCAATTTTATTTTCTAATATCAGGTTTGATAATCAAAAGCAATTTTAAAATATTTTATAGGAACTTCCCAAAATTAGCTTCAAAATTTGGTGACATCCCAAGTCCATACAGACCTCTTGACTTTCTTGTCCAACTCCAAATCTTACCATTTTGTCATTAAATCTTCCATGAAAGCTCCATTCTGAAACTACCAAAAAAGAAAAAAAAGAAAAAAAGGATAAATATAAAATTTTCAAGTAATAAATGCCTTAAGGTACAAGTAATTAAGCTCTAATATGGACTTTTGTCGCCATTTTCATCCTCCTTCAAGATGGCTATAAAATGGTGCAACATTCACATTCGAAATCATAAATTTTCAGATAAATTTGATCTCTAGTTGAAGAAGATGATGATGTTATTGCAGAAGCCACTTGCCATCTTCAGCTGCCTATTCCTCTTCATGGCCATATATTCCACAGCCCAATCTCCTCCGGTGCTCGACACCGACGGCCGTCCTCTGCAGCGCGGTGTCGAGTACTTCATCAAGCCCGCCGTCACCGACGTTGCTGGCAACCTTACCCTGTTAACCCGCAAAGGTGATCCTTGCCCGTTCCATGTCGGTCAAGTACCTCTTCGTTCGACAGATATAGGTATATATTAAACTACTATGAACTCAAAAAAATTACAATCATATTTAATCTTTTACACGTATACTTAACCCTCCTCTTTATATCTGGACCGGATATTAATTTGATTCATAATTTCAACCTGTGAATTATTAATATAAATGGTATTACAGATATTTGCATTTGTCTTTCTAAGAGCTACTTATACCAATAAAAATAATTATCCTCATCCCTATTTGCAAACCCAACAATTATGATTTAATATTTTATTATATTCTCAATCTTAGGTTTTTGGCGGGTGAAGATACAATAAGAGAAGGAAGAGATTTGAAGGTCGTGTTCCAAGCGTTTTCAATTTGCATAACGTCGACTGCATGGAGAGTGGGCGAGACGGAGCCTACCACTGGAAGAAGGTTGGTGGCGACCGGGAACGACGATACCGCCACCGGGTTCTTCAGGATCGACAAGAGCGACCTTGGAGTTTACAATCTGGGATGGTGTCCCTCGGATGTCCCCATTAGAGGGAGGCCAAGGTGTGGAAGGGCTGGAATTTTGGTTGAGAAAGGAGTGAGGTTGCTGGCTTTGGATGGCTCTGCGTTTCCTTTCGAGTTTGTGAGAGCTTAATAACAAGAGAAAGAACTTGAATTTCTTACCAGAGAAAATGTGTGTAATTTGTTGCAATTGCACTAAAAATAAAATAAATAAAACTCTTGTAAGATGTTTACTTTATGTTATTTATTTTTTACGTGATTCATATGTGTGTGTGTTAAAATGCTATATGAAACCAATGATTTGTGTTTTACTTTTTATTGAATTATAAAATGGATGTCTCGTAAAAATGGATGCCATTGAAATTGACTTTCTAGTATGCAAATAGCCAAACCCAGATACTTTCGATTCAAAGGACAATACTTGGCAAAGTCGTATACTATTACCATCCAGCACTAAATTTTCGATAAATAGAAGATAAGACCACAAAGAGAGGTAGAATTTATTTATTTTAGAAAAATAAATAGTACTCTTAAAATATTTAGTACAGTAGAAAGGAGAAAATTCCTTGTTCGGTCTGCTATGCAACAAAGCATTGTTTAATTTTGGACTCCTTTTAGGTTCACCCGCACCAAACAGTTACAATCTAACATTATATTAAGTCTAAAATGAATAAGTTAACCATAAGGGAAAAATATTTGTTGATTAAAATTTATTAAAAAGATATTTCAAAAGAAAATTTTATTCTTTTCCCCCAAAAAACTTACATGGTTGAGGATTATCAAGCGTAATTTTAGAATAAGTATTTTAAGCCCAAAGTAATTTATTTAGAATGTTTTCCTATTTAAGCATAATTTATTTTTATTTTTTTACACTTTTAAGTTATATATCCTTCCATCATTCAACTACAAGAGTGTCAATCACAATAAAATAATTATTTTTCTAGTGTTTTTCTCTAAAAATATATTTTAAAGCAATTTTATTTTCTTTTAATGTTTTTTACTAACTGCCAAACACTATAGGATCAATTTTTAGTAATTTTTGGAAAGGGATTGGTAAAAGGGTAATTTTATTAAAAGGAAAAAACACTCATCCGTAACAGACTATTAGCTATGTAGTTTTATTTTGAAAAACAACTCCGTGACATTTTAATAATTAGATATTCTTAGATAAATATTGTAAGCCAAAGTAGATTAAAGTTGCAATGAATCACGAAATAAAAGTCAAAAAGAATTTTGTCCACACAAGTTAATTTTTTATCAAACAAAAGAAATTAAACAAAGATAGGGAGAGGTATTTAATGAAACTCTAACCACCGGATCTGACCATGAAAATTTTGGCCTCATCTATCATGTTAATATAGGTAATTTCCTTTTTTTCATCATTTTCTTGCCATTAATTCGATAATATATATATTCGTAAAAATATATATATATATAGATAATATAAAATAAAATAAATAAATAAATTGAGGGAGCCATGACCTCTTCTACCATCCGTCCTGTTTGGGGAAGGGAATACCCTGGACACGTGGAGGACCCCTATTGGTGCTCCAAGATGGCTCATGAGTCATGCCCAGCTCGGATGGCCGAGATGGCCGCCACCAACGCCGACAAATGCTAAGTATGAGGGCCGAGGTGAACCTGGCCCAGGTCCGACCTACCGGGGAGCTTGGTAGGGGCCGATGTGAGCAACTGTCTACGGCGTGATTATCGGACGTAACCGTCGGTCCCGAGATTACCGGGTGTAACCGACGGTCCCGAGATTACCGAACGTAACCGTCGCGAGATTAGCGGGACTACCACCCATAAGTAGAGGACTTCACTCCACGATCAGGTACGATGATTTCTGACCTCGAACTAAACTGGGAATCCGACCTATACTGACTTGATCGTCGGAGTGCTCACCTTTTTGTGCAGGTCCGCCCAAGCGTTCAGGTCAGTCCGAAGGCCGAGTTCGAGCTGCAATCTGGAACACACTGTTGTGCATATCTTGCATAAACACTTGGCGCGGGAAGTAAGGCTTCAACTTAAATTTGAATCAAGCCAATTTCATTATTAAACTTTACAATCCTACCAATTAGTTTTTTTTTTCTTTCTTTCTTCTGATAAGATCTTAACAACTAGTTGATATATAAAATTTAAAAGTTTCGATTTATATTTAGTAGACACATCTGACAATATATCAATATGATAATATATATAATATGAACACTTGGTTCTTATATTTTGCGTATATAAATATATACAATACTTTTGTTTCAAAATATATATATAGAAATACTTTACATAGGGACATTGAATCTCATCACTAATCATCCATACATTTTGTTTACTATATCATATTACACATAATTATGCACGTGGCTTAGTCTTTGTTTAAAAGATTATACTTTTCATTATCAATATCTGTCTCTTATGTTAAGAAAAAAAGCATGTGAATCATTAAATAAACTCACATGCCCACTTTAAGCCACGATGCTCTTATTTGTGTACTTTTATATCATTGCAATATGTTCAAACTCAATAGTGGAAAGTATAAGTTTATTATATATTAGGTGTGTTAAGCATCACACGTAACAAAGATAAGGATCTTACAAAAGTTTATAATATAACTGTATTTGTGCGTTATTCCTTTCATTTTTAATTGGTTTTGAGAATATTAGGAATCCGTTTGGTAATGTTTTTTTTTTCTTGTTATTATTAATTTTTCATTATATTGAACATGTTTGGTAATCATTTCTAGCGGTAATTAGCATTTATCTTCAATCAAGAGTGTTGTACTAAAAAAAAGTAGTGGAAAGTGGAAATAAATGACTCGTTCGGTAAGATTCATGTTTTATTGTTTTCAATTTTTGAAAAACACAAGTGTTTGGTAATTGTTTTTGTTCTGATTTTTCATTTTTAATAAATGTTTTCAAAATTGTGTAGAAATTTTAGAAACAACAAAATTAAATTTCTTACTTCTTGTTCGGTTTCTAGTTTTTTCCCCCTAAAACATAGATAAAAGCATTATTTTATCAACTTTTACTTATAAAATGCATAATAAATATAACATAAAATTTTGAAAATTTAATTTTCATATAAAATTTCTAGTTTTTTAATTTAAAATTTTAGAGAACAAGAAATAAGAAACAATTACCAAAAATGTTCAATATAATGAAAAAGAAAATATTAACAAGAAAAAAAAAGTCACCAAATTAAACGAGTTCCTAATATTAATATTCATGTAGTTTCATCTCAAAACCAATTGAAAATAACGCCTAGTTATATTATATACCTTTTTAAGATCCTTTATCTTTTGAATGTGTGATCCTTAACACACTTAATATAATAAACTTTTGTGTTGATTCCTAACTTTATTTTTATTTGTTGTCATTTGCAAGAACTTATAAGTGAAAATGGGTAAAATGGTGCTTTTATATCTATGCAAAAACTCATTATTTTAGTTGTTATCATTTTGCTTTTGTTCATTCACTCAATGAACAAATGTCTCCATGAAATAAGTGTTTCAAACCTTGCGTGTGGTGGGTAAGACAGACGTGTTAAGTTTCATACAATGTCTATTAAACAAATTAATAGAAATAATTATCAAGAATGACAAATAGTTATTTATGCAAAGTATAGGAACTAAAAAGCGGATTAAAATTTAAAAATCTTAGAACTAAATCAATATGAAAAATTACATAAACTAAAATAAAATTTGACCTAAAATTATTATGAAAAGCAAAAGTATATTTGTTTCTTGAATTCAATTTGGTATATATATATATAGTTCTTATGCGGGCAAGCTTATTATCTCAGGCTTTAGCATATATAGGTAATTTGTTAGATTTTACTGACTACATAAATTTTTTACTTCAAGATTTACTTTTGATTTCTATCAATGAAGACATTATCTCTCACTTATATTCATATCATCCTCACATTTCTTAATGATCAAACTAATTTTTAGTTGAACATCCAACAAGTTGGTCATTCATCATTCAAATTGGCTAAAGGGTTGGGTTTACTTTAACTTTAATAATGTAGTAGGTAGCGTCCTCCGGATCTTGATATTGACTTTAAGAAAAAAAATCGACAAAATTCATTCAAATGGATATTAAAGAATTTGGAACTATATGATGAACATGACGACGTAATTATTGATCTATATATTATTCCCTATAAAAAGGTTGTGCCTGCGAATGCAAACACACCTCACTATTACACAATCAAGATGGTGTTGCAAAAGTTGGTTGCCTTGTGCCTGTTCGCAGCCATATTTTCGGCCGCAGCAGACGTTCCGGTGCTCGACACCAACGGCGATCGCATTGTATCAGGCGCACAATACTACATAAAGCCTGCAATTGTTGGCAGAGGCGGAGCTCTCACTTTGGTCGCCAGAAAAAATGGCAAGCCATGCCCGAAATATGTCGGTCAGGTAGAGCATCCTGATCAGAAAGGAACCCCAGTTAAGTTTATGTTGGCTCCGGTGACCAACGAAGGTTGGCTTGCACATATTACGTTTCAAACGTCTGATTCTTGCTCAAAATTGACCATGTGGGGGCTAGGCGATCGGGAGAATGTGTCGGGAAGGAGGCTGATCACGTCGGGGTCGGAGCTTTTGGTTGAAGTCTTGTTCAAGATTGTGAAAAGCAATGGACTTTACCATATTCTTTGGTGTACTTCAGAAGATCACAATCCTCAATGTGGAAGTGCTGGTATCTTGAGTGAGGATGGGGTGAGTTTGTTGGCTTTGGATGGCCCTGAGCTTCCTTTTGTCTTTGAGAAAGTTAAGTGATAAAAACTCTCAAAGATCCACGTTTGTGGTTGATCATTGATGCACGTTTTGATTCTTCACAACTTGGTGCTTTTGTTTCAAAGGCAATCAACCTTTAATTTCTAGTAAAATTGATGTTTTAGTGAAGTGGTGGGAGGTGTTCTTGTATTTGGAAATAGTGTCGTTGTTGCTAGAGTTTAGGATTTAGATTTTGCCTCAAATAAACTCGTTTATCAAAATATCATAATGATGTTGACTTTTGAGCTTAGTATTGAATTCTACTCTATGAATCTCATACATACTTACAAAGATATTGTCTACTTTCGGGGGCGAAGATAGTCTCACACTCAACATACATAGATTGAGGCTATGAACTTAATTTCACATCATTAAATTAATGTGGGAAAGATATATATTTGACTGCCTGATTAAATAATAATTACATCTTTCTTTAAATACGAAGTCTTTTGGATAAAGTTTAAAAGTAAAATCACGTCGTCAACCTAAGAACTCAAACGATTAAGACATATATCTTCAAAAATAAAGAAACGTCTTATTGTTATATATTATAGGATTTTGATAAATGCTAGAGTCATGGGCTTGTATATCAGAATTGCTACATAAAATATTGACTTTCAAAAAAAGCAAAGCCCATTCACATATGGATATTAAAGAATTTGGAATTATATCCATGTTGTTAGGGTAGGAAACTCTTAAGAGTCAACTTTTGCATAAAAAAGGTCATTATTTATATTGACCTTTCAACCCTAATTTTTTTTTCATTTTTTAACTTACCATTTATTATTATTTTTTTCTTTTTAAATAGATTGACCAGTTACATATATCGTAATAATGATGGGTGGTAACTTCAAACTTTTCTACAAAACTTTTCTATAAAGAGAGATCATAACAAATGAATGGAAATTAGATAATAAATGAATGAGAAAATGATTATAACTAATGAATGGAAAAAACAAAATAAAATAAAAAGAAAGAAAAAGTATATATGGGCAGAGTAGGTTTCTCATCTCTGGTTGGAGATTAATATTATTTTATACGATGTTGGTTGAAATCTAAAGTGGATCTTGAAGAGCTCAAAGAAGCATAAACCTTTTTAAGTAGTCTACTTTGGTACTTACTTTATTTTGAATTTAATTATTCAAATATTCTAGCGTATTGGGAGTGTTTAAACCACCACTCAACTCAAAACCATGGGTTGAGTAAATTTAACTCATTTATACGGATTCTTAATAAGTTTCACCATCCAATATATTTTTTACTGATTAAAACCTTTTAATTTAGTGGGATCTATTTATCTAGCTATTTTAGACCAATAAAAATACGCCACATCATAAAGTCAGTCTCTAATATTGACCAATCTGCAGACAAGTATATATTATTCCACATATATTTTTCAAATCTGACACGAACAAAACGAATGAAACTAATTTCTAATATCAAGGTCTCTCATTCAACCCAATTATATATTTGTTAGTATCATCTTTTACTTCTAGGACCTTATAGCAAGTGGAATTAAGAGTTCAACACTTGATGATATTAGAGTGGCTGCTGTCGGTGCTTTTTAAAAAATCTGTGATGGATTTTTTTTTTTTGGTGAAATAGAGTGATGGGAAGTTGTCATAGTCTCATACATATGATTGTTAAATAATGTTAGATATTTTGTCGAACTTGCTTTAAGAATTTGTGGCCACAAAATGAAACACATTTTATTCAAGGCTGGTAAAATTGTGGCCATTAAATTAGACACTTTGTTCAATGCCAAATTAGACGTGGTAAATTTATGGCCACGAGATCTCACACTTTATCCATAAATATGCCGTAAAAGTGTGACCATTAAATTTTACACTTTGCCCGAAGCTAATGTGTGACAAATTGGTAACTATAAATTGGTAACTATAGAAATTTACTTTATAGATAATTATGTTTGGATTAGAAATAAACAGTCATGGGTGAAAATCCATCCCAAATATATATCCAACTCTCCAAATGAACAAAATTGTGAGGGAAGGGGCAGTGGTTGCTTCTTGACTTTGTGAGATATAAATATAGAGGTTTTTTTTTTTTTTTTAATTAGAGATTTTGTTATCTAGCTAGAAGAGAAAATGTTTGTTAAACTCCCATTTTTATTGAGCAGAATTATTCTATTCTTCCCCATAGTTTTTACCCTAATTTGTTTAGAGGTTTCACTATGTCGTCTTCTTCTTCATTATTACTTTTTCTCAATTTTTTATGTTAGATGTGATCCTACTCTATTCAATCTCATCTTCCCTCAACAATAATTGTGAAAGGGAAGGGATGATAAGACCGACAACGTTGTTACTTACGATGTAGATGTAGCGAAATACACCAAGACCCTACATGGGGAAAAATCCAAATTGAATTTCATAAGGAGAGATTTATTGAAAAAAATATGCAGAGTTTTGCAATTTGTAGAAGGAGGATGTGCCTAGCTAGATATAGTTTTCGCTTAAAGATTATATTGTCGTTTTGGCCAATCTCTTGCTATTTTTTTATTTTTTAAATTGCGTGGAAATATGAAGAATGGGATGATCTAAATATGGAGAAGGTTTCTGGCCTCACAATTAGATGAGTGCCTTCCATTTTCAAATGTTGACTATTATTAATGTATATAGTATACTTAATTTAATAATAATCGAAGTGGGAAAAAATATAGTAACAATCTTGACCCTTCCATTAAAATAATTATGTAAGTCAATTGAGTTAAATTCAAGTCGGTAAAAGAGAAACATTTATTATATATATTAAGCCCTTGAAAAGTATTCTAGATTCTCCACTGCTGATAGTTCTTTCCAACTTTTCTCTCATTGGCTGTTGTTAAGCCGCCGACTTCCTCTCCTTATTTATAACTTAAAAATGGAATGAAACAAAATTGAAACTTTGTTGGCTACGTTAAGTCTCCACGATTTGTACTTTGTTTTTTTAATTATTTTTTCCGTCCTACCATTCTTTTTTTTCAATGCATTTCACCATTTTTATAGATACATGGAAATTCTTTAGCCAACTTAAAAGAAAAAAAAAACGAATTTGTTGAGAAACTATATATTTTTTTTAGTTTTTGAAAAGTTGTGTTTATAAGCTATTTTTTTTTCAAAAATAAAATAAAATGGTTATAAAATGATTTTAGATACATGATTTGCCTTTCTCAACTTAGTTTTTGGTCCCAAGGAAGCTAGTGTGTGTTGTAATAATAGTTAATGAAGTTCATTGATAAGAAGAAATATAAGAAGAAAGCACTCATTATATCTTTTTCAACTTTGTATGAGAAAATTAGTCCAATACATTTATATTATAATATGATATTATTCACTAAATAATTAATTATTCTTTATATATTTTCACACAATGGTATGACATTGTAACTCTTAATATTTTTAAACCTGTGGGAGTAAAAAACTGTGGGAGGTTTTATGAAGTTTCACTTTTACTAGCAAATGCAACAATGGAGGAAAATGGTTTTCTTTAACTCTAGAAAATCTATCTGCTTTTGTAACTCTTAATATTTTTAAACCTACACCAATATAAACTTATACATACATATTTTATTGTGCAAATTAATGTATAATTAACAAGTTTATATATATATATATATATATATATATATATATTTTAATTAACCGCGAATTCTAGTCGAAGGCCACGTAATAGTTCGGCTGGAGAGCAAGGGAACCTGAAACTAAATAACTCGACATCGGTGCGGCGTCCCACCTAAAATACTCTGACGATCAAGTCAGTAATATAAATAAAAAAATAGGAAAATGACACCTTAAGTGTGAGTCACATGTTTTTCACATACTTCGTGAGGATGAAGGTCCTTCCTTTTATAGTCTTGGATGGCCGACCGGAAGGACGATGATTAGAAGTGGCAGGGATGCTCCGCACTGTACGGGGAGCATAGTGGAGCACGCTCCCGACAGTTACGGGGTGGCACTTTCTCCTGCCGCTCAGAGCTTGTCATCTACAGTTGCTGAGCGTGACTGGCATATCAATGATGTGTGCCTCCTGCTACGGTTACATACGGTGTCTAGCTGTTCATGATCCATCATCCCTCCATGAGTGGGCACGTGTCTTGCTCGACACTATCGACTTGTGGGGAGTAACCGTATGTGGTCCCACGCTTCACAGACAGACATGCGTCCTACTTGGGTTTTTACTCATCAACTTAAGTTTTTAGATTGAGTAGTGATGGTTTATTCATCCTTAATATTGTATGAAAACAAGTGATTGAGATTCAATATTTATAAATTAAATTTACCCTACCAATCAACTTAAGTTTTTAGACCGGGTAGGCATGGTTTATTCATCCTTAATATCGGATGAGAACAAGTGATCATGTGTTTGAATCCGTACCTTTGTTGTTTCCTCCCCATTTATAATAATTTTCCCTTGTTGAACATTGTGTCAAGGGACCTTAATTTATAATAATTTTCCTTGTGTCAAGGGACCTTACAAAAAACTAAATTTATGGGACTGATGAGAAATCACATTTATAATTATATTTTTATCAAGAAAGCTGAGTTTAATTGCAAAACCATCCATATTAATTCCTAGTTTAGTTACATATATTTTTGCAAAAAGCTTGATCACAATGAGTAAAAATGAGGAGGAAGTCGAGGCTCAACAATCGCGACAAGTGGAAATTTCTTGGGAGTTGAAAGACCAAATGCTTCATCCATGTTCAAATCTTCCTTCTTCATATCTCCCTCCAATTTTCAAACAAATCCATGCAATAAATTGGCCAAACTTGATTGAACAACCTTAACGCCAAGATTATACCGAGGGCACATCCTCCTTTGAGACCTAAATGGGAGAAGCTCAAAGTATTGACCTTTCACATCAATGTTATTTCCAAAGAACCTTTCTGGAATAAATTCATTTGAATTTTCCCATACTACATGATCTCTCCCAATCGTCCACACATTTACAAGCACTCTGGTTCCTTTAGCTATGTCATAGCCTGCAATTTGACAATCCTCTCGACTCAATCTAGGCACCAACATTGGTCCTACAAGAAGCAGCCTCATCATCTCCTTTATAATCGCGTTGATGTAAGTCAAATTAGCCATGTCTTTCTCTTCCACCTATCTTTCCCTCCCAACCACTTTGTCAAGCTCTTCAGTTATTTTTTTGAAAATGTCTGGTCTTTTCAAAAGCTCTGATAGTGTTCATTCTATAGCCACAACTGAATTCTCAGTTCCCGTTGCTATAAGGTCCTACAAATGTAATTTAAGGTCGATTAGGAACTTTTAATTTGTTAATATTCTAAAAAATAAAAAGTCCTTTTTTCCTTTTTTTTACTCGAAAGAAGCTGGTGACTTGATTCCCTGTCTTTCAAGTTTGACTTCAAGATTAGGATCATCAGCCAACTACAACAAAACATCTGCCATATCTTTGGCCACGTAATTATCCTCTCTTACTTTTTTTTTATTTTAAATTGCGTGGAAATATGAAGAATGAGATGATCTAAATATAGAGATTTTTAGGCTCACAATTAGAAGAGTCCCCTCCATTTTGCAATGTTTACTATTATATTAATGTATGGTATACTTAATTTAATAATAATCGAAGTTGGAAAAAGATATAGCAACATGTGAGTGTGAATATTCCAACTCGTGACCCTTTCATTGAAGATAATTATCTAAATCAATTGAGTTAAATTCAAGTTGGTTGTCATTACAAATTATAACGAAAACTTCATTTTATAGGAGTGACTGACGAAATCACAATTTAGGCGAATTGTAGTAGTCGTCACTGAAGCCATGCATTTGTTGATAGCAACAATTAAACTCAAGGTGAAAATGTTGATAATATTCAAAGAGGAAACAACGAGAATGAAAGAAGAAAAAGTTTAAAATAATTAACAGTTGATTGGGTGAAAATATTTGGAGAGTGTAAAAGATAGATTTAGCAAAAAAAGAAAAAAAAAGAAAAAAAAAAGAAATCTAGAAAAAAAGAACAGTAAACAATATATATAGTTCAAATCAAAGGAAAGTGGAAAAAATTGTGGTGGAAAATTAAAGAGTTGCACATTCAATTAATTTGAGTTAAACAAAACTTTTCATATTACATTTTAGTATTTAAATTAAATTAATATAATTTAATAATTATAGATAATTAATTATGAGGGACATTTTTAAATTTAAAATTTTGTAGAGAAATAAAATTGTCCAAATATATTTTACAAAAGATAATAGATGTTTTTAATCGAGTTATAAATTTATAATTGTTTTTAAAAATAAATTGACAAAACATTTTTATATGAACTTTCACATTTTTGTCATTTAATTGTTTTTATCAACTCATTTCAATCCATGAATGCGCCTAATTATTCATTTTAATATATTTTTATTTTTATTTTTTTAAACATAATTATTTAACCATTAAAAAAATTATAACTTTCAAAATTCCATTTTTAGTTATATAATTAAAAATAAAGTAATTAATTTTATAATTGATTTTTAGGAATAAATTGACAACAATTTTATTCAAACTTTTCTTATTTTTTTACTTTTCTTATTTTTTTCCTAATTTTTTCTGAGTTCATTTTAACTTAAATAAAGATATCAAAACGATGAGAAAAAGATAAAATAAAATTTGGAGGGTGGCGTGAACTTAAAGAGAGAGAGGAGAGCGAATGAGTGGAATTTGACAGGGAGCTAGCGGTGAAATGACAAAATTGTCATCAAACTAATAAACATAAAATATTAAAATTAAAAGATAAAATGGAGAGATAAAGTTTCTTACTGTAGCCTATTTTATGTAGCATAGAAGTATAGATATTAAGCCCTCGAAAAAGTATCTAGAATTTGCCACTGCTCATAATTCTTTGGACGTTTTCTCTTCTTTTTTTTACAACATGTGGGGTGGAGATTCGAACTCATGACATTTTGGTCAGTGATAGATGTCTTAACCATCTGAACTATATTTGGTTTGACTCTCATTGGTGGTTGTTAAGCCTCCCCTCCGACTTCCTCTCCTTATTTATAACTTAGAAATGGAATGAAACAAAATTATTACTTTGTTGGCTACGTTAGCTAGGTCTCCATGATGTGTTTTTGTTTTTACTTTTGTTTTTTAATTATTTCCTCTTTCTCGCCATTTTTTTAAATGTATTTCACCATTTTTATAAATACATTGGAATTTTTAGTCAATTTAAAAAAAATTATAGAGAAACTACTTTTTTTAGTTTTTGAAAAGTTGTTTCTATAAGCTATTTTTTTCAAAAAATAAAATTTATAAAATGACTTTTAAGTACACGATTTGTCTTTTTCCAACTTAGTTTTTGTTCCCAAGGTAGCTAATGTGTGTGTTGTAATAATACTTAATGAACTTCACTGATAAGAAGAAATATATGCATTATCATCCTTTTCAATTTTGTAAGAGAAAATTAGTCCAATACATTTATACTATAACATGATATTATTCACCAGATAATTAATTATTCTTTATATATTTTCACACAATTGTATGACATTGTTTACTATAGCTTTCGGTAAAAAACTGTGGGAGGTTTTATGAAGTTTCTCTTCCTAGCAAAAGCAACCAGGGGAGGAAGATATGATTTTCTTTAACTCTAGAAAATATATATGCTTTTTGAACTCTAGAATTGGACTTAATATTTTAAACCTACAGCCATATATATTTATACATACATATTTTATTGTGAAAATTATGTAATTAACACAAATAAAATGAGGATGTAACAACCTAAGCCACATCAAGAAAACAAGAGTAGCCAACCAAAAGCAAAAATATAAGAACAGAACAAGAATGAGAACTTACAAATTTCAAGAAGATAAGAATATTAATATAAATAAAGGGAATTGATTTATAATTAAATTTTAACCCAAGTACATTTTTATCACAGAAAACTTAGTAGAAATGCGGGATTTGAACTTTGTGACCTCTTGGTCAAAGACATATGTCAATTATTACTGAGTAATTAATCTCATGTTGGTGCAAAGATACCTATTGATTCTTTATTAATGTAGTACATATATTTGCATAATACTTGATCACAGTGAGTAAAGATGAGGAGGAAGTCGAGGCTCAGCAATCACGACAAGTGGAAATTTCTTGGGAGTTGAAAGACCAAATGTTTCATCCATGTTCAAATCTTCTTTCTTCGTATCTCCCTCCAATTTCCAAACAAATCCATGCAATAGATTGGCCAAACTTGATTGAACAACCTTTAGGCCAAGATTATACCCAGGGCACATCCTCCTTCCGGACCCAAGTGGAAGAAGCTCAAAGTCTTGACCTTTCACATCAATGCTCTTTCCAGAGAATCTTTCTGGAATAAAGTCATTTGGGTTCTCCCATATTGCAGGATCTCTTCCAATCGTCCACACATTCACAAGCACTCTGGTTCCTTTAGCTATGTCGTAGCCTGCAATTTGACAATCCTCTCGACTCAATCTAGGCACCAACATTGGTGCTATAGGATGCAGCCTCATCGTCTCCTTCACAATCGCATTGATGTAAGGCAAGTTAGCGATGTCTTTCTCTTCCACCCATCTTTCCCTCCCAACCACTTTGTCAAGCTCTGAAGTTGTTTTCTTGAAAATGTCTGGTCTTTTCAAAAGCTCTGATAGTGCCCATTCTATAGTCACAACTGAGCTCTCAGTTCCCGCTGCTATAAGATCCTGTAAGTGTAAGTTAAGGTCGAACTTTTAACTTGTTAATATTCTTAAAAAAAAAAAAAAGCTTCCTTTTTTTTTTTTACTCAAAAAAGCTACCTGTGTAATTGCCTTGACTCCTTGTCTTTCAAGTTTGACTTCAAGATTAGGATCATCAGCCAACTGCAATAAAACATCTACCATATCTTTGGCCACATAATTATCCCTAACTCCCATTCTCCTCCCATTGTGTTCATCTAATACATGCTCCAAGAATCTATCGAACTTCTTGTACAATGCCTTCATCCTCTTCACGTAGCCCTGCAAATCCAAGAAATCTATCCACGGTATGAAATCTCCTATATTGAGCGCACCATGCAAAAAGAACAGCTCCTCCAACATTTTTCTGAACTCATCGGGACTGAAAATAGAGTACTCTTTGGACTGCTCCAAATACTTCTTTCCGAGCACCATCCTGCTTATCACATTAAAACTCTGTGTGAACAAATAGTACTTGAGTTGGATTCCTTTGCCAGAAAATTTGTATATTTCTTTAAGCAAAGCATTGGTTTCTTCCTTGCGTATATACTCCAAGGAATCGAGTCTCTTGGCGCAAAAAAGCTCCGTTACACAAATCTTTTGGGCTTGGCGCCAATAAGGGCCGTATGGGCACCATAGGATGTCGGAATAATCGTAACCGATGTACTTTCCCGCGGCGAGTCTGGGGCGGGAAATGAAATTAAGATCATGGGTTTTGAGGAAAAGCTTCGCCGTCTCAATGGAGGATGCGACGACGACGGGGAAGGAGCCGAAGCGGAGGTGCATTATGGGGCCATGTTTTTTGGAGAGTTGATGGATGGAGTGGTGGGGGAGAGGGCCGATCAAGTTGAGGTTTCCGATGAAGGGCCATGGCTTAGGCCCCGGCGGCAAATTGAGCTTTCGACGGCGGCCGGAGAGGAGGAGGAGGGAGAGAGTGGCAATGGCGACCCATAAAGCTGCGTGAGAAAGCCAACAAGGAGCTTCCATTATTATGGCTATGGGTAGAGGGCAAAACTTGAAGAGGAGGAAGAAGAAGTGGTAGTGATGGAAGGATAGATTGGAGGGCCATTTATAGTTGTCTCTAACTCCAAAATCAACCTTATGGTTTCATCAATAGCATTCTCTTGCAACGAAAAATACTTAAAACTTCAAATAATCTTGTCCTTATTATACTTGAAAAATTGAATTCACAACTCATTAATTTTTATATAAAAAGTGTATATTTTTCATTTTTTTCTCTGAGTTGTCAAACATTCCATAGTGATAACGACAAGATTACTCCAATAAGAGTCTAAGAATTTTCAATTGAAAAATATATGGAGAGAGAGAAGAACAATTGTAGGGGGAGAGAAAAAAATGAAGGGGAGGGAGAGAGGGAGAGAATGAAGAAGAGTGAGAAGAAAAGAAAGAAAAAAAAACTTAAAATTACACTTTTTAGTCTTTTAAGAGTTTTAGGGTTTGAGATAGATTTTAAATTGGGTTCCTAAATTAAAAAAACGGACAATTTGGTTCTAATTTTTAGAAAATAGTTATAAAAGATCTTCTTGGTTCTAACGTTTAGAAAATAGTTCTAAAAGGTCGATCTCGTAGAACCAAAATTTTTTTACTGTCACAATAACTGACGTGGTAATAGTGAGTTTGATATTTTATAAATTTTATATTATTAATACTGACGTGGTAATAGTGAGTTTGATATTTTATAAATTTTATATTATTTTTAATTATATAGAATTTTTTATTCAATTTCCTCCTCTTTTTAATTCTCTCTCTTCCCCTCTCGTTTCCCCATCTCTCCTTTTCTTGTTGGGTGAAATAGGTGTGGTTGGATTTTATTAAAGGTGGGAAAGAAAGTGAAATTTAAGAAATTTATTCACATATACGTTGTGAATATTTCTTTATTGGTTTTGTTAATATTTGTGTTAAAGTTACACATTTGTAACTTTATGTATTGAAGTTACATGGGTTGAAATCACATATATGTTAAACTTTTATTTCTTAAATAAGAAGTTTTTTATATTTATGTGTTAAAGTTACATATGTAAAAAGGCTACGTATGTGTTTAATTTTGAGTGAGAGATTACTTGTTTAGACAAGTACTATATATAGTTGCCGATTTATTCATTTTGAGATATTCAAGCATACCACAATTAGGTATTGTCCTCCCTCTCACAAGAATTCTCTCTTCTTTTGAGTTGTTGTTCTTATTTGTTTTGAGAGCAAGTATCTAAGAGTTCTGTTAGATCTGAGTAGTTTGAGGTTGCAGTTCTACCAGAGTTAGTCGTTATATCCTGTTGAGACGATCGCTGTAGTATGTTAGCAACTTGTGCAGAGCGAATAATTGTCTTTAGGTCAGTGCTATTAAAGCATGTCTCGACTATATATTTATCAAGGTTTTGTGTTTATCAAATTGTCAGTATCTGTATTGTTTGTAGCCAATTATGTTGTAACCTGTTTGTTAGTATTACACAATTTATATATACAACGTATATCTACTAAAGAATAAGGAGGGAAAAAAATATTAACAGGGTCCTAGATGGTGAACTAGAAAGCCACATAGGAAATAACCCAAAAGTTCCTTCACCCCTAAATCTTCCAACACCACACATTTTGGATCCTCAAAACCACACCTTTTAGATCCTCACGTGGGCTAATAGTCATGAAAAGATATTTTTCCAGAGAGAGAGAAAGAAATATAGGAGGGAGGGAAACGAAATTAGAGAAAGAAAGAAAGAATGAGATGATGAAAATAAATAAATCACAAAATTAAAAAGAATATAAAATTTACAAAATACCCAACTCACGATTGACACGTCAGAAATTTTCCGTGCTAACAAAAGTTTGACTCCGTCAACTTTTTAAAACTATTTTTTAAAGGCAAGGATCAAACGGTCAGTTTTTTAAATTGGGGACCATATAAAAATTTATCATTTTAGAAACTAAAAGTGTATTTTACTCAAAAAAAAAGAAAGAAACAAAAAAATAAATAATAAAAGACAAATACATAATTTTTCATACAAAATATTAGAAAACATTGGTTCTCAAGAGGGGCAAAAATAAAATGTGCCTAAAAAACGCCTATTCAACTTAAACACAATCCCAAACTTTTGTACATATACGATGATATTATCATATTTTCTCTCAACTTTTTGATTAGCTGGATTGCACTTCACATCTACAAAATGATGTGAGGTTATACTCAAAACATGTGAATACAAATTTTTTAAAAATAGGTCAAAGCAAACCATCTTTGGCCCTTACTCGGCTACGAATGAGAATATATAATATATGATTTTAAATTTTACAATGTTGAATATATAAAAGAGAAACGACAAAAATATTTTAAATTTATATCCCATGTTTAAAATTTGCAGTTAGACCTATAAAAATACGCAGACAATGACAGAACGGCCAATTTAAAGGGAGAGCACTAAATTACTTACATTACGGCGGTGTCTGTACAAACAATCTAGACTTATATTCAAAGTTTCCCTAGGATTGGTGAGACGAAATAGAGTCACCATAGTCCATTGTGTGCTGTATCTCGAGCTAGAAAGTCCGTAAAAGCCTCTAATATTAACCAATACATAGGAAATCATATATATTTTCAACATATATTTGTCAAACCTAGCAAGAATAAACTAATGAAACTAATTTCAAATAATATCAAAGTCTCTCATGAACCCAATTATGTATTTGTTGGTATGATCTTTAGTAGCTTCTAGGACCTTATAGCGAGTGGAATTAAGAGCTCAACAACCACGATGATGTTAGAGTGGCTACTCTCGGAGCTTTAAAAAAGTCTTAAGATTTCCAACAGGATAATAGAAGAGTGTGATTGAGTAATGGGAAGGAAAGACGGGTGGAAGATAAAAACATTATGTACTTGTCATACATCGACATGATTGTTAAATAATATTAAATATTTTGCCAACTTATCTTCAACAAATATCCTTCAAAAATTTCTAACCACGAGACCAAACACTTTGTCCAAATTCAAAGCTAAATTAGATGTATGACAAATTTATGACCACTAGATCTTACACTTTGTCCATATGTGACAAAAGTGTAACCACCAGATCTTATGTTTTGGACTCTGATATCATATTAATATTCATGGGTTCCATCTCAAAACCAATTGGCCAATTAATATCATTGTCAATTGCTTTTGAGATGAACCCATGAATATTGATAATTCGCACCCCTAGAAATTCTCCAAATGAGCTAAAGTGCGAGGCTTTGTAAGATAAAAATAGACAGAGCTTTCTTCTTACGAGAGATTTTGTTCTCTAGAAAAGAAAAAATTGTAAAACTCCTATTTTTATTGGGTGGAACTATTCTATCATTTCTCGTAGTTGTTACCCTAATTTGTTTAGAGGCTTCACTGTTCCTATTCTCCTTCGTTATTACTTATTCTCAATTTTTGTTACCCTAATTTGCTTAGAGGCTTCACTGTTCCTATTCTTCTTCATTATTACTTATTCTCAATTTATTTTAATTGTGTTCCTACTCTATTCGATCTCATCCTTCTTCAACAATAATTGTGAAAGGTGACGATAAGACTGAACAATTATTGGCCCCAGGCCTTTGCAAAAAATAAAAATATTGGTCCTAGACTGCCGACCACAATATAGCTAAAGACACTAAGACCCTACGTGGCGGGGAAAATCCAAATTGAATTTCATAAAAGAAAGATTTATTGAGAAAAATATGTAGGCGAAAGGTCTATACCCTTAAGTTTTGCGATTTATGCATGGAGGGTGTGCCTAGATATAGTCTTGGCTTAAAGATTATATTGTCAAGTTTTTGCCAATCTCTTACTTTTTTTTCTTTTCTAAATTGCGTGGAAATATGAAGAATGAGATGATCTAAATATAGAGAAGGTCTTTGGGCTCACAATAATTAGATGAGTCCCCTTCATTTTGCAATGTTTACCATATTATTAATGTATAGTATACTTAATTTAATAATAATCCAAGTTGGAACCATTTTTCCCTTCTTGGCTTCTAAGCCTTAATCAGACTAATGTCTCATCAAATGTAGCCCATGTGGTAGAACTTTCCTAATTTCATTAATACAATTTCTTCATTTCAAAAAAAAAAAAACACTACAATAAATTTGGCTTTCAATGACAGTCAAAAAAAATCACGGAGGATAATTAAAAATTATAATTATTTTTTAAAAATAAATTGACACAAAAAAATTTTATATTAACTTTTCCAACTGCTAAACCCTAAATTTTAGGAGAGAAAATTAGTCTAATACACTTATACTATGACATGATATTATTCACCAGATAATTAATTATTCTTTATACATTTTCACATAATAGTATGACATTATCTACTATAGCTTTTAGTTAAAAACTGTGGGAGGTTTTATAAAGTTTCACTTCTCTGGCAAAAGCAACAATCGAGGAAGATGATTTTCTTTTAACTCTAGAAAAATCTATTTTCTATTTTGACTCTAGAATTGGACTTAATATTTTAAACCTACAGCAATATATATTTATGCATATGTAATTAACAAGTTTATATATATATATATATATCAGAACAAGGCACATCAAGAAAACAAGAACGAACAAAAGCAAAAATATAAGACCAAAAAGAACGAGAAGCTTACAACTTCAAGAAGATAAGAATATTAATAAGAAAAAAAGAGAATTAAACTTGTGACCTCTTAGTTTGAGATATATGTCAATTACTACTGAGTTAATTAATTAAACTCATGTTGGTGCAAAGATACATATTGATTCTTTATTAATGTAGTGCATATTTTTGCATAATGCTCGATCATAGTGAGTAAAGATGAAGAGGAAGTCGAGGCTCAACGATCACGACAAGTGGAAACTTCTTGGGAGTTGAAAGACCAAATATTTCAACATATCAAGCAAAGAGAAGTACTATAAGTACTATATCAAGCATATCATTGATATACAACATTTCATATCATGTATATCATTAGTATATCAACATCCATAATCAAGTATATCGATGATATATCAAAGCAAGTATATATATCATTATATCATTAATATATCAACTATATTATTGTTTGAGCTCTGTGTTTATTCAGGTTATATCGATTTCAACATTCAAGTCATAAAAATAGCGATAGTCCAATTTACCCAACCTTTTCTCTTTTTTTTTTTATTTCAACCTTTTCTATATTAACATTACATAAATAAGTTATATATAAATATACATTTTTCTTTTTTTAAGAATGGATGCTGAGTTAGGTTGATATTATTCTTCTTTAACATTACACAATCGTAAAGACTTTAAGCCTAACCATGAGCACGGTGTATTATTCCTCTTCTAAATAAGCCTCGAGGTTCAAAATCCGTACCCCACTTCGAGGCGAAGCCTTCTAGAACATTCATTTACATGTAAATTTAGAAAGTCCCCATCTCATTTTCAAACAAAGATGATTGCATTATTTGTGGCAAGGAAATGGCACCTTGTGGAAAGATGTTTATTTTTTAGTGTCTTGATATGTTGGAATAGGAACTCCTGATTCTTCTGTCAGTTTCTTGTAAGCATTTTGTAATCTTCTTGTCACAGCTCCTACTTGTCCATCGCCAATCACCCGACCATCAATCTTCACAACCTGAAAATCAAATGAATTCACCAGTTAGGTGTTCGATCTTGGTTTGGTTTGGGTTCGGTTCGGCTTGGTTGTTTGTCAAATCTTTGAAGTCAATTGGATTCCTTTTTCGGAACCAAACTTTTCGACCCCAAAAAACCAAACGAATTGATTCGGTTTGGTTCAAAACCTGTTATTTGCATCATTTGTAACCCCTTTTCAAGTTTTTAAGAGGAAGTTACATTACAAGGAAAATGAATAGAACTAATTTCAAACCCTTTTCGCTTTAAGAGATTGTTCATCCCTTCTTTTGTAAGTCTCTCCCTTTTTCTATGAACATCCCAATGTCACATTGAAAAGAAAAATTGTAGCCATAAAGTACTTACTGGGGTCAGTTCTCCCATTGTTCCAGTAGTCCATACCTGCAGGAAAATCCTCTTTAGTTGTATTGAAACACTTCCAACTGGTGAAAGTTGATTTTTTTTCCGTAGCATTTTTGTTCCATCTTTTGCTATGTTTTCAGTTTCTGCTGTATAATCACTACTATATTGAGTTTCCCAGTTTAATGTTTTCAAGCTAACTGTTATGCGTCTGGTGCTTATTTGACTAAAAACAAAACTATTATCAAACGGGGCTTAAAAATTTTCACAAGCATTTTTTTTTCCAACTCGATGTTATGCAAACATTCAACTTCGAATTTTAAAATGAAAATAAGGAAACCTCATCTGCAGTATGGAACTCTGATAGGCTGATTCTTCTCTCCTCCAATACCAACTTCTCCTTCACCACAAGATCCATGACCTGCAACCATAAGATCAAACATTGGTTAAATCTAGGTAAGGAAAAATGTCTAGGCAATCAAACAATCACAAGTCATGGTCGATTGGAATTCTTGAATGATGATTCATCTACGTGGCACGAAATGGTCGACAGCAGATTACAATTCTCCATAGTAAGATATGACAAATATACCTGTTTTTTTTAGTTCAACTACACGTGGAAGTTATAATTTAAACCTCTAACTTTTTAGTCGATGATATATGTCTTAACCAGTTGAGTTATGCTTAAGTTAGCATATGACGAGTATACCTAACTCAGGATAAGGTACAATGAGTGTACCTGCATAGGAAGGTAGGGCGAGCAAAGAGCATGCATATTTCTACAAGAGCAAGTTAGGACGAACATATATAACTAGCTAGTAAGTTGCGTAAGTGAGTGAGCGTCTGTCGTCCAAGGCTAACTGGATAATGGAATTGGCAGAATGTTATATTATACCTTTCCTTTGTCAGGTATGTGTAATAAGATCAAGGTAAGGCCTAATTTTGACAATCACGATGAATTCATACAAGAAATGTACGGTGAAGTTTCATACCGTCGCTCGAGTTATTCCAGGGAGACAATAATCAGCATGAGGCGTCAGAACATTTCCTTTTTTCACTAGGAACTGCACAAGCAAATTGCATCAAACTTATCATTAACTCAAATCCAAGTGCAGAATGTGAGCAAATGAATGTATATATTTACTTTCAACATCAATAAGACGACTTAACAAGTTGAATCAGAAGGGAATGTGCAAGGTCATGAAGCCCTAACAAATCATAAGATGCCAAATATAGCCTAAATGACATTATCACAGGTTATTAATAAATGAGCATTCTTGTTCCCTACACATACTTCAAATATTCTCGAAAACGTAAAAATGGTGGAGGGGGCGGGAGAAGAGCCAAATCCAGGATTCTTTGTCATGTCAAGAAGGATTATATTCTATTGAAATTTGATATCGTATCACCACATGCTTCCGGAGAGTATCATACTTTATAGAAGTTTTGGAACCTGATACTTACAATGTTTGTAGCATTGGTTTCAGACACAAAACCATCTTTGTCAAGCATGATAGCATCACCAGCATTCGCATTGTTTCCTTCGATCTACACATTTCAATCGACTCGATCAATCACGAAAGACAACCAGAATAGACTGGACACTACCCATTTGATATAGTTTCAAGTCACCCATGGATGGTTGATTTGATCAAATACACATCAAATAGTCACTTTTATGTGCTGACTTTGAAATCAGATAACCAGATTGTTGAGTAAATGCCTGCATATACACATTTGCCAATCGAAAACAAAAAGTTGTTTGTGTACATAAAACTCTTGACCGCAAGCCAGCATGATATATCTGATACGACATTATTAGGCATAGCAATAACATTTACTGTGTTACATTCCATTCTTTGAAGAAATTATACGAAAAGGCCTATGATGTTGGAAACTCAATACCTTTGCAAGAATGTTGTTGAGAAGATTATTGTGATGAATCTTCGAATCCAAATTCTGGAGGAAAGATAAATAAATAAATACCAATACTAGCTGACTGAACGTTAGTAATAGATGAGTTGAATCGGCATTTATTTGAATTAAACTTATAAGCACAAATCAAATCACAAACATTTAGAGAAATATCAGAGAAAGGGAATATTCTTACATTTGGTGAATTCCGACGTGTTGTGGCAGTCACTAGACTGATGCCACTCGTGTTGTCATATATAGGGGGTTTCCATTCAGCAAGAACTGAGTATAGTTACAAGAACCTCAAAATATTAAATTTAAAATATACCCGCATGCACAAATTAACATATTATACAAGAGCCATTTATTTACTTGAAGGGTGCTAGCCTAAGAATTTTAAATACTTTTTTTAATAAGAAATGGTTATATTAAGATACAAACACAAGAGAGTACAAGACATTTTCCCTACGCCAAGAAGAAAAACACTTCCAGTTGGCTTGAAGGAAAACAGAAGGAAAACTACTGAAGGATTTAGTTAAAGAGGCTAGTCTAGAAGCTAAAACAAATAATCCTGTAAAAAGAATTCATGAAAATGAAGGAACAAATCTTCAAAAGTTTCTTTATTTCTTTCTATTTGAAGCTGCCAAATGGTTGCACCAACAATCATAGTTCACAAAACCTTCTGTTAATGCAAACAATAAAGCCAGCTTGCCCATATTATTTTTAAATTTTCAGTTGCCCAATGGAACAAACATAAAACAGCTAATGCCAACAATAAAATTTTATGCATAATCATTCCATCTATTACAACTTGAAAAAACATAATAAGTATTCTTAACACCAAGCTGGTTGCATTGATAATAGAACAAGAATTTGCATTACCAATTAAGGTGCATCCATAAAGATTGAACTCAGGGCTCATTCCAGAAGTGACCTGGAAAAAGATGAAAACGAGTTTAAATATATGAACTTTTCCAAATTCCACTAAAATATAAAGGAAATAAATTTACCCCATATTTCTGTGATCTGACATGAAACAATTATTAAACAAAGGTATTATGTATGTTTGAATCCTTAATGTAATAGTCATTCAGTTCATGACAGCCCCTTTATGGAATCCAGTAATAAGCCACTTCAGTGTGTACATAAAGAGCAATTGAAAAATTCAAGCAAAGGATGATTTCAATCGGATTGCTATCCTTTTTTCAAAATAAAAAACAGCCACATGTACCAAAGAAGTATATGCTGATGAATATATTGTCATAATGGTTGGCATAAAACTCTGTTGATGAAAAAGTTCTATTTCCTATCAAAGCCGTACGCCATTTTTTATGTTATGACTAGCGAGTTCGAAAAAAATAAGAAAACAACTTTCTAAACAAATAATTCACAAAAGAGSTTAGAAGGGTAAGGGGGGAGCCTGAGGAACCTTAAAATTACACAACCTTTTTCCCACGTGTTAAAGATAAACGGATGTGCGCATTATCAAACATTCCATTTCGAATTAGAGTTCTGAAAATTGCATCCTTCACCTACAGTTGCATAAAAAAAATATTACAAGGATACACAATGCATCCTCTTTTCAGGAAAGTGCGTAGAAGCTCCTTCTCCCTGGATTTGATACCCTACGGCAAAAACCAGAGAGGTTGCGAGAAGACAATATATTTGCGTGTTTCTGTTCAGTTTATTGGACTGAAACAAAGTCATCCTTTGTGCTCACCTCATCCCTACTCGGAACATTTTTGAAAGCCAATGCCTTTGACGAATCAAATAACCTACAGAAAGGAAAAATAAAGACCAACAAAATTATCAAGGTGCAGCTATATTAACAAAGAAGATCAGTCATGTCTTGCTTGGGCTCCCTTTTACACTGACCTGTCTAAATGTTCGTCGAGCTTAAATATTTTTCCACGATAAACTCGAAGTCCTTCCCAGACTGAGTCTCCACCTTGGACAACAGAATCGAACACAGAAACCTTATACCAGTCGGAAGTCAAGAATGAGAAACCAAGAAAATGCAAAATTTAAAGAAATAAGTTCTATCAACTGCACATGTTCATTTTTCCAAGTACCTTTGCACTATCACGAGGTAAGATCTCATCGCCCACCCATGCAAGTAGCTTCTCATTTGCAGGAACTGGAAGATCAGGAGTAGGCAAGGGCGACATGAGGAGAAGTGATTTTTGCTTCACATGGCGCCTAAGAAAGTTGTAGAGTGGTAGGGTTTGCTCAAGCAAATCGTATAAATTAAATGGGAATGGCTGAAATCAATAGAAAATTTAAGGCATGACCTCATTAGTTTGAATAGGAAAATGTATTCATTAAGGGTGTACATGCTGGGGGAGGAGATAATTGTACTGCATATCAAAGTAGTAGAGAAAATTGATCTTCATAAATGGTATCAACAGATTATATTATATTGTAAAATAGTGAACTCATTTTACTATTAGCAACATAACAATAGTTTTTACCTTCAAGAACAAAATTAAAACTAAACCTCTCATTCAAAAGTAGAAAAAGATGTAACAAAAGCCTCAACAAAAATGCAACTCCAGGAACTGGTGTAAATAGCAAGAAAATATTTTGCTCAGAGAAGAAGTGCAGAGTAAATGACATACCAAAGGATATTTTCTTCCTGCCTCGAAAGCTGTTGATTTATGTACAGTTTTATACCACCATGGAGCCCAAACACCATCTATTGCTTTTGGACCAGCTTCCCATCTGAAAATGTTTCCAAGTTATCATGATAAGCTTATCAATACCTGCAATAAACAGGGAAATAATAGACCATCCATGATAAAAATACAAAAGAAGAAATCTTTGACTAGTTGTTTTTTGATAGGATTGACTAACTGTTTTAAATATCAAAAGCCAACTAAAAGCCAATAGCTAGAGAGAGAAAAGAGAGAAAGATGTATTATATAGTTAGCTCATGTGATTAAATGGATTATATATACACAGTCCAAGCCAATAGTGGAACTGCCTCCACAAGACAACTTTGATTGGACATGCTACAATAAGGCTTTGACACAATTACTAGTTTCACAACTTATAAGAAAATTACAGTTTCAATTTTTGTCCAGTTTTAATCACATATGGAAAGGTAATATATGAAGTCTGAAGTCATTAAACTTTTCTAAAGGAACAGAAATTCCTTACTTCAGCATTTTGTATTGAAAAGGAATGCCAAGGTCTTCACAAAGACCACGTAAGGTTCCCTGCAGATCAATGAAACATAGAAAAGAAAATTTTACAAATTAATTGATGAACCAATTAAAATCTAAACTAAAAGATTAAGCAACTGGAACCAGTGGTAATGCAATATAGAGATCTAGAATTAATAAGTCCTCTCACATTGTCATTGTCATTTCTTTTTTTTTTCTTTTTTTTTTTATAACCCAGCATCAATACCTCTTTAGATTTTTACCCCTATAATCAGGCACCCGTGTCTACCCCAAGGCCCGAACTTGGGAGACGTCAAGGAATTTTAGTATTAAGCTCACCTAAATGTTCGAATGTAGGTGATACCACAAAGTCTCATGTTCTTGCCAATAGAGTTGCCCCTTGGGAGCCATTGCCATTGTCATTTCAAGATTAATAATTTACATCTAAAGTCTCATTAATTGAAGTGAAGTCTTCCACAGGATGGAGAGTGTTAGGATGGAGAGTGTTAGTGTTAAGAATAACTTAAATGATTATCTGAACAGTGGGACGGAGATGTAAGAAGTGTTTTACCCATTAAAAGCATGGTGCTAAGTGATTTTGAAAATTCTAAAGACACTAAAAAACTAAATGCTTTTAGGAATTAGGATAAGCACTTAATTTTAGTGCTTCTTCCAATAATGTTTACAAAAGAAGTGTTTTCACTTGAAAGAAAAGTCATCCCAAACTCCTTCTAAGAAGGTAATGACATTTTAAGACAACAAAACTTAAACGCTCCACAAGGATTTAAGAACCAGAATGAATTTATCATGTCAATCACAACATCATTTTGTATGCTCATGCAAATGGTAAATACCACGTCCTACAATAACTTTTTGGATCTGATTATACTTCATAGATTTGAATAAAAGTGGCTGATATTTAAACTAAAACATGCAAATTTATGCATTATATCATAACCATCTCCATAGTGCAATATAAGTGTGGTAATTAAGAAAGCAGTAACACCTCAGGATCCTTTTGAAGTTCAGCTGCGTCAATGATAGGTGGGGGTCTTCCCAACTCTTTCAGCTCATTGTAAACAGATACCAATTCTGAGAAGCCCAATTCAGAAAAGGTTGCAGGAATGACCTTGTCGTAGGATGGCTGAGACAAGTTCATTAATCTAAGATGGATAAATAAAGAGTGGGGTGGCTATCACTGAAACTAGTAATGTACACAGAACAAACCATCCAAAGAATACAAAACGCATATATGGTTCTTACACTCAACAACTACAAACAAAATTGAACTTCAAAGTCATAAATATATTCCCTTTTCCATAAGAAAGAACACAGAAAATTCTCCAAATTTTATTGTATAAGGGCAACGAAAAGCAAAATGCCAAATTTTGGCCAAAATCTTTCCTAAGCTGGTATTTGTAAACTGATTGATTTTTCAAATAAAAGTTTAATTCATATGGGAGGTACCAATATTAAGAGGGTAATACTGGTATAGTACTATTCATTCTTTTGATACCTTATTGCATACCAACATAATGGTAATGAGAAACAAATTTCACAATTATCTTACCAAAATATCAAGTGGATTTCTCATCAATATGAAGTGCATTCCCTTCTTCACCAAATCACTTGCCAAACCAGGTACTTTTTGTTTAGCTATATGCTGTATGGACATTAAATAAAATAATATCATAAAGTTAAAAAGATGTGCAATTGGTTAAAAAGTATCAGTCAACTATAAAATCACCTCGTAAATTTAGTGAAAGATAAATACTTGTTGAATTACAGAACATGGATTTCTATTAAATAATAATACGGCTAGTTTTTACCAATTTCGGTGCTTTGTTAAACTAGACACAATCTTCTTTTCTTTTTCTTTATCCTTGTGCAAGAACACATGAATGATACACAATGATTAAGCTGTAGCATTCTAGTTGCATAATATTGTCTTTATTTCCCATGCACGCAAGGTTGAACAGTTCATCAGCTTTGAATTGGATAGTGGAGACCTTCTTGAGATGAGATCAAATAAGAGTGCAGAGATCATACATTTTGATTTTATCATATGTTATATTTTTTATATGTATCTATAGGAAGCAGTTCTTCATCCTACCAATGGCCTTTCAAAAGTTTTCAAAGTCTTATTTGTAAAAAGCATACAGCCGATCCCTCCAAATGCCATGTACATCTAGGAACACAATTTCATAGGGTATACAATTGGAAGGAATAGTTAGATCAACCTGTGTCTATCTTATTATTGTCATACTACAGATGAAGAAAGTTTGCATTACCTTGCAAAATCGGAACTTCTTTTCTCCAGGTGCAAAAATGACTTCCTTTATGACCTTATTCCCATCAGGTTCCTATAGAATGCAGGAGAGAAAGGCAATGACAGTGTCCGGCAGAGCAGTTGTTTCTATATAAATCTAGAAACGGGCTCTTAACAAAAGTTTCACTTTTCTACTAATTTTTCCAAAAGTAATAATAATGTAATAACACCAATATATTGGCATTTTTCCTTTCTGCTTTTCAAACAAGCAGTCCTGTAGGAAGAAAATCGGTTGCTGTTGGCTACTTGAAAAAGATTCTTCCATCCAATGCCAAGTGCAAAATTTTCATTATGTTCTTTTTTATTATTTTGGTTTCTGACCACCTCTCAACTAATTTCACAAAACAACCGCTTGTAGACTCTACGATATCTGACATCAAGATACACGTAGAATATTTAATACCAAAATATCAGGTGAGCACCATAATTTGAACCCATGACCTTAATAGGGCATCCAAATTTAAAGCAAGCTTACTTCTCCGCCAAACAGAGGTTAAATTGCATTTTCTTACTCAAAAATGATGGACAAAGTTTTAGTTTCAGTTGTGGAAAGTTGTTCCTGACTATATCGTACACCACTCCCTACCTTCAGAGTTCAAACAACTGGGCAGATTGGAAGTTAAAACAAATGAAGATGCTACGCTTGATGTGCATACCATTTTGGATAGTAGCTCCTCACGGTACGGCCTATCATAACCTGTCACCCGAAGGAAATTTGCATAGAGTGGTTCATCTAGCACTTCCACGTCATCTCTCTGAGGACAAGACAATACATAGTAGATAAGAGCGTGAGCAAGAAACATGTTCTCGTTGAAAACATATGCAAAAGATGGAGTCAATGTGATATAGTGGTTGCATCTAATCTTCTCTGTACTTAACAGGACAAAGAATACCATATGAAATTACGTCTTCATAATACATTCACTCCCAAGTACAATTCAAATCAGAAACTAATAATGAAGTGCCAATGTAGACACAAAATATTAGTAGGTAACTGCTCATTAATGTCTCCAAACTTGTGCTCTAAATCTCAATGTTTCAAAGTTCCACAAATTCATTAAAAGGTGGGTCCATTAGACCAACTTTCAACTAGTTCAAGTCATTAATCCAGATGCATGGCTCTGCTGCTCAATATTGAAGAAGAAGATAAAGAGTTATAACATATTATTTTAACAATACAAACAGCATAAGAGCAATATTAGTGCTTAAAGTCTTGTATGATGATCGATGACTCTGACAGTCAAATTTCCGAAATAATTTAATACAAAAAGCCAGAGGAAAGCCATCAAAAGGTCGCCGATTTTGGAGAAAGGAAAGAAAAGGGGTTTAACTACCACTAAATCCAAAAACTTAAGCATATACTAACCTTTCATATGTACTCCTAACTGCCTCCCTCAATCATGGGTTCGAATATTAATTTAACTTATGAAATCAAACATGTGACAATTATTGATAATTATTAATATTAATTAGTGAAGAAATGACATTGCCCCATGATAACACAAAACCCAAATACGCTCTGATGCTCTGGTAAAGGCTATAGTTATTGAAACCCATAAGAGAAAAACCAATATCCATCCAACCAAAACAATGCAACGGCCAACACATAAATTCCACAAAACTCGAGCTGTTTTCTTCCCCTTTTACTCCTCAATTTCCCAGCAACCAAACCGAGCAAGCAAGCAGTGGATTTTTGGTTCAATGATGACCGAGTGGATCAAAGAATGCAGATAAAAGCTATGGTTCTTGAAACCCAGTAAAGAAAAATCAGTACCCATGCACCCAAAACAATGCAACAGCCACCAACACAAAAATTCCACAATACTCTATGGCTGTTTTCTCCCCATTTTCTCAGCAACCAAACAGAGTAAGCAAACATTGGAATGAGTGACTGAGAAAACTCGAAGAGCACCTGCGCAAAAGAGTACATAAGGCTGGTGCTGAGCGATCTCGGAGTGGACCATAAATGAATCACCTCCACCTCCCCCATCGCAGTGGCGGAGCAAACGGAGACTGATCTCAAGAATCAAAATGCGCTGAGGCTAAAGCTTACAGACCCTGAAGTGGATAAAAACGGAAGATTGCAAACTGAAGAGAAGACTCCAAAAAGAGAGAGAGAGAGATTGAATGAATGGTCATTACCAGAAGATTTCCCCTTAATGGTACACGCATCCCAGTGATTTCTGTACAGTGTTTATTCTCAATTGATCTGTTGTGCTCCACTCAATTGATCCTTCACGTTCTAAAGAATCAATCGATAAAATTAAAAGAAACCCATCATTCAAAGCTAACAAAAAAGGAGCAAAGCAACGCAACGCAAAAACCCACGTAATGTAATGCAAGAACATATCAAACCACTGCTCAAAATTATTTTTTAATTATGTGTTTATTTCATTAATGAAATCCTAACTGAAATGTTATGATAGAAATGTTCTAAAATATGGGTGAGATTGGAATAGTTGGTGATTTTTTCCACTTCTACGACCTTTTACTAATAGTGATGGCACATCAAACAGAAACTTCCTTTTCATCCTATTTTACTCCACTTGTTCATTTTGTGTCACCTCCCAGTTTGCCAAAATTACACATAAAATAATAATTTTTCTTTATTTCTTACTTTCTTTTGATTTTATTCTGGTAAAGCGAGTATACCTCAGGTTTGATCTCCCGTTCCCCGTGTTGTACTAAAAAAATATATTTTAATTTGAATAACCGGCCAATACCATAATATTTTAAATTGTCTCAGAGTAATATTTTAATGGATAGATACTTTAAGATGAGATTTGATAACATTTCCCAAGCCTTTCTACAGCATTATTTTCGGGAATTTGACCGATTTGATCTAAAAATGTTTTAGGTTTGCTCAAATGACCCAAATTCAGATTTTTCACTTATATGACCCAATTTCTCTTTTTTTGACACGTCAGAGAAGGTGGTTTGACGAAATTGCCTCTGTTGTATATGAAAAAAATAGACACATCTATTCTTAAAAAACTCGACCGAGATCACACAAAACTCGACGGAGTTTTTACAAAATTCCCCATAATTTTACTAACCGTTGGTCTTCGATTTCCCCTTTCTTCTTCCCTTCTTCTTTCTTCTTT